TAAAAAAAAAAAAAAAAAGAACAGTAAAAAAATTGCTGTGCTGATTAAATGATGCAACAATTTCAAAGTAGCATAAGATAGTATAAAATATATTTATAATTATATATAATTTATAACATACAATTTATAAATACATTGAATCATTTATAGAAATAATTTATAAATAATATAACTATGTAGTAAATAACTATAACAAATTGTGTAATGTAAGACTTTCCCTCTCCATCCATCTTTAGGTGGCCTTCACCTTGACAGTCACATGCTGCTGGTACAGGATCTGCGTCTTGCTTCTGCATTTTGATAGAATACTCCCTCTCATTTGTAAGGTCCTTCTTTACCTTCTCTTGTTGGTCTGAATATCACTAATTCTTTAAAATCCAGCTCAAATGTCACCCTCTAGGAAGCTTCCTGCAATTCTCCTAGTCAAAAGTTCCCTCTTTCTCCTCTAAAAGAGATCTAGCTCTACTCATCATAGTTGTTTTTGGTGAATCTTCCTCCTATTCAGTTTTCTTAAATAAAGGATCAGTATCTAAAGCACCTTTGTGTACTACAATACCTTATATGCAGTAAGACCTACATAAATATTTATGGAACAGAGAAAATCAATAAGAAATCCTTTGATTTTTTGAAATCATGAAAATATTAACTTTTTTTTATGTTTCCTTTGTATTTTCTAAATGCATCTGAAAATATTATCTTAAAGCTTTCAGATCAACTATCCTTAGTGTCCTTTCAGTTCTTACTTTCTTCTACTTCTGCTTTGTTACAGTTACAGAGGTAATAATATTAAAAGCCTCCACCAGCCTGTTGTATAATGAAAAGCTCTTAGCCAACATGAAGGTTAAGAAGTAACTGTGTTGTGAAGTGCTAAGGATATAAAAAAAGAAAGTAAAAAAAGTGTAATTAGGGGCGCCTGGGTGGCGCAGTCGGTTAAGCGTCCGACTTCAGCTAGGTCACGATCTCGCGGTCCGGGAGTTCGAGCCCCGCGTCAGGCTCTGGGCTGATGGCTCGGAGCCTGGAGCCTGTTTCCGATTCTGTGTCTCCCTCTCTCTCTGCCCCTCCCCTGTTCATGCTCTGTCTCTCTCTGTCCCAAAAATAAATAAACGTTGAAAAAAGTGTAATTATAAATCTATAAAGAATATCAAATAATTATTTGGCCATATAAAGACAGCAATTTTTCTATTTTCCCATTACAACTATAAAAGGAAGCTAACAAGT